TAATTAACTATCTACCATGCACAACCAAATTTGGAAACCTATACAATACATACTCTAAGTCCACAACTAATATGATATGATGAATGTCGAATCTTCAGTGTGCGATTCGTTACACGCTATGCATAAAAGATGTTAAATACGAAGTGTGCAAATCATTACACAAGGCAGCAATATATTCAATAAGGAAAACATATTCTCATGAGTATAAACATAGCAACTATGTTATCCAATGCTCAAAACATAACCAAATGAATATACAACAACAAGGTAGAGCTTTAATTAAAACATGCTAATTTGAATCCCAAGGTTATAAAACAACTTCTAATAGTCCCAAATTAATATATGCTAGTAAACAAGTCATGATTAATACAATTATCAAGTTAAAAACTTAATTAAACTAAGGGGACCATTAAATAGATTTTAATTAATTCTTTTAATTAAAATCCCTAGATTTTCAAACTTAACCAAATGCTCTCAATTTAACATATCTTAGATAACATGCCAAGGACTAGTGTAATATCACATTACAAGTTTATTTCATTCAATTTTCGACCATGTGAATTAAACTTTCACTAAAGTTAAATATAAAATAAAAGTTGCAATTCTCATGCAATTAATCCCAATTTAATATATGTGAACAACCATACCAAAGCCTAATTTTATAGCATGCCATAATTCAATTCCAAGTTGTATATCACCTTGAGGATTAAATCTTAAACAAGGAAATTAATTAAATGAAAGGTTTCAAAACCTCACCGAATATTCTAAATCAAATATATATAAAGCTATATGGCATGTAGATTAAGAATATCAAGTCGGAATTCAAATGGAGTGAATAGTGCACTCGGGGTAAATTAATTAATCAAATTAATTAATAATTACTAATTTTCAAAACACCACCAATTACTGTTAAATTCAACTATGTTGAAGAGCATGGTAAGGCCAAATATAATATGCTATCACACATTGATTTCAAGCTAGTTAAGGCCATATGAATTAATATTTTATTCAAGATAAGTATTAAATAAAATCTTCATTTCTTATCCAAATGCTCCAATTTTAATATATGTTAATCAACATATCAAGGTGTAATATAATGTCAAGCCACAAGTTTAAAACAGGCTATAACTCACCGAAAAAATTAAATTTCATACTAGAAAATAAATAATCAAAAATTCTAGATTTAATATCCAAGCATGCAATTGAGTTGAATAAGAATCACAAGCATAATTAAGCAAGAAAGTAAATTATAACACCCCCTACCTCAATTTGAGATGGAAACCTCAAGGCCCACCGAAAAAAAAGTGTTCCGACACCGAAGGGTTTTGTCGAGGACAACACGATCTACATGAATCCGAAGGAAGCCCCATGAAAATCACAACTTGACTTCAAACCCAAACTCAAGAAATGGTCAAAAATGAATTCTAATAAGGGGGAATGGTAGAACACGTCGAGGGAAACAAAAAACGTGAAAGCCGAAGACTTTTCACTTAGGAAAAGTAAATCAAAGGAGGAGAGAGAAGGTAGCAGCTCCATGGGCATCCATGGCTGCTTCAGGTCGTTCAAGGGGAGTGAGGAAGGTGAAGAATGAAATATCTCATCCCGCATTTATAGAAATCACAAAAAGTGCCCCGAATGGGCCTCGCCGGGTCCGGAAAAGTGGATTTTGAGCAAACGCGCTCAAACGGCAAAACTCCATGAACAAAAAAGATTCAAAATGAAAAAATATGAACAACATAAGAAATGGCGTCAAAAACCGAGTCCCGATCAGAAAGTTATGCCCCGAACAAGTTCGGCGGCAACCGGTCCAGAAACTCTAAAACTGGAGAAAAATGACCAGAAGGAAATTCTATGAATTTACAAGTCAACGAAAAGTGAAAATGAATCCCGTACAAGGATCTAGGCTCCAGATGAGGTATTTTGCAATAACTTTCGTTAATTGCACAATGGCCCATATAAAAAGGTTAACTGTGAAACTGCCCCAGAATGAAAATATCTTCCAAAAGATATTTTCTTAGATACCCCTAAAATAAAATATCTACAAAAGATATTTGCGAAAAACACCACAAGAAAGGAAAATAATTCCAAAGAATTGTGCATCCATGCCCCTATGGATACCGGGAGCAACCAGAGTCTTTCTTACAAAAGTAAAGATACGTATTTCGAGGAAACCACTCAAAATGAAGGCACGTGAAGTCAAAAACCAACTCCGAGCATGAGAAGTGAGGTTGTGCCAACAATTTGACAAACGTGGAAAAAATAGAATAAGGAAAAAGACGAAACAGGGAAAAGGACAAAAGACGCATAGTGTCCGAAAAGTGAAAGTGCGAAAATGACTCGATCCTCAACGGAAGTTGTCAATTCACATGAAAGAGTCTCAGAAACCAATTCCGAGCACTCGAGATAACATTAAGTGACACGAAACAAAGCTCAGAAAAGAAAATTAAACGAAAAAAATTAATTCGTAAAATTTCAGGAAAAAGGAAAGGAAGGCAAATGACCATGTTGTTACAAAATAACATTGTTGATAAATTTATATTCATGAGAACTTGCTTTCAATATTGAATATATTATTGTCTTGTGTAACGAATTTCACACTTCATATTTGACATTATATATGCCATTTTAGAATTGAAACCCTAAAACATGAATTGTGTGGTTTCAACCTACTGGTGCATGGAAGGTGATTTCGTTCATTATTTAATTATGTATAAGTTATGAACTTATTTATTGATTTTGGAGTCACTTGGGACATTGTTACTTTGACATAGAGTTTGGCTCTAGTGCGAGAGGTATGAGGTCTCCCCAATTTATAGTGCACACTAGGGTGGTATTCCCAGCGGTTTAATGCCCAGAACAACCATTTAGGTCTTGGTTTTACTCCGAGATTTGATGTCCAAGTCTTCCACTATTTGATTTCGCATTCAATTCCAAGTTGACAACCAATATTTAATTGTGACTTGTGGTTTTGGTTATTGGCGATTTAATGTTGTTAAGTACATTTATGCATTATGATTTTTAATAAATCATTGCAATTTTAATGCTATTAAGTACATTTATGCATTATGATTTTTAATGCATCATCGCAGTTTTAATGTTATTAAGTACATTTATTCATTGTGATTTTTAACCAATCATTGAAATTTTAATATTGTTAAGTACATTTATGCATTGTAATTTTTAATGAATCATTGCAATTTTAATGTTGTTAAGTACATTTATGCATTGTGATTTTTAATGAATCATTGCAATTTTAATGTTGTTAAGTACATTTATGCTATATTGTTCACATGTAACTTAGGAACGATCCTATAGATTCATTTGGAACATAGACGTTAGGTGGCATGACCCACTTTAGTTGTTTTCGCATTTTAGATATCAAGTTGATAACTTTGATAATCTATATCTTGTTAAGTTGTATCGTATACTCCTATACTGTTTAATTGCATAAAAATGTGGTTTATGCTAAAAATATTTTAAGGTTGCTTAGGATGCTCCTTGGGTCTCACTTTTGACATAGACGTTAGGTGGAATGAACTACAATGATTAAATTATACAAACTTGTAAAAAGTTAGGTCTATACATGCTCATTCTCTACGAGTAACTTGTTTACGCACCCTAAAGTTATCAGGTTATTTTTTAGGTACGGATACCTTAGTTGGGGATGCACAATATCCCTAGGTCGTTTCGATGGATTGAAGTTCATTTAAATATATTCTTGTTCACATGCAAGTGTTAGCATATTTAAGTTTTACTTTTAAAGTTGTAATACATAGCTAGGTTCAATATGCCGTTTTTGCCTTATGATATGTAAAGTGTACTTTGATACACTATTTGGAACCTATTTGATATGTATAATTTGTGGCAAAGGGCCAATTATCTTTAGTTTACACTTTTGCCATTTGGTTCCTTGTTTTTACTTTTGAAAGAGTGTTTTAACCAACATTGGAGGTTTGGCATATGGTTTTGTAAATTCAATATGTAATAAGACTTTAAGCCATTGTATCACATTTCTATATATATTTTACATTTGTAAGCATGCTCACACACTTGCACAAGTCTAAAGTGTTGTTTTTGGACTAATTCATGATAGGAATTGAGGCTTGGGTTAAGCCTCAACATTTTTGGTGTATAATAGGTCTTTCAGCACCATCTCAAGTCATTTCGGCCGATTGAAATGTCATTTTGGTCGACCGATAGCTTTTGGGATTCATTTGAACAGTAAGAACACATTTTCTAGTAGCTTAAGTACTATTTTGGGCACAACCGGTTGACCGATTCATCATTTCGGTAGACCGATGTGTTTTTCCTTCATTTTTCATTTTTTTGGTGATTCTGGGTCCATTTCGGCTGATCAAAATGGCTATTTCGGATGACCTAAATAGCTTATACTCAACTACCCTTCAGTTTTGTTTCAGCTTTATTCCACTGACTTCAAACGGTCATAACTCCTTTATTCCTTGTCCAAATTGGATGATTCTTGAGTCTAAACTCAAGGATTTTGAGTCAGATTTCCAATGATACCAATGCCATTCTCAGACTCAAATCACAGTGGGAGTTATTTATGTTTTAATGAGACAGTGTTAGATTTTGTTTAAAACGGGAATTGGAGTCATGTGGTCTTGGCTAAAGTTCTTAGAACCTCTTGGAATGTTATGAAATGATTAGTTTAGGTTGTATGGACCTCATTTGACTTGCTTGGAGTCAAATTTTCCTTCTGATTTATAAATTGACCCTTTTGCCCTTAATTTACGGATTTTCCTGTTTTGATTCTCGGTTGCCTTTTCGTTCTCTTTGAGTTCCATGACTTCATAGAACATCACATTGGTGTCTTAGAGATGATTTATATCTGTCACGCCCCTAGACCGTAGTCCGGATTGTGAACACAACACACAAATAATCACAGTCTCAAAATCACTGAATATCCCTGTAACCTGTCTGAACCACACATCCACCTATCTATTTCTCTTTATAGAATCAAGACTGAAAATAAATAGATAAGATGCAAATATTAAAACTTTAAAGTTTTAAAGTCTGAAAGAAAATTTATTACATGCCAGGAAAATTCTAGGAAATATAATACAAAACACAGTCTATTATGCGGAATATAACACAACAACACCAGCCCCGACTCTGTCTACAGCTGAGGAGGAACACCCTCCACACCATCCATGCTATGACCTGAAAAGATGTGAATAAAATAGGAATGCGCAACCACAGCTCAGTAGGAATTGCCTAAAGCGCACTCCTTAATACCTCCGTGAATCCAAACAAAGAATAGACAAAGGATAATGGGATCATAAAAACTCGGGAAAGAAATAATGTCATGTAGGATAATAAAATGAAGTGCCATGCAATGCGGATGCTAATGCTAATGCCACAGACACTTCTCACTTCCCAAAAATCCAATTTCCATCACAAAAAGTTAATGTAATCCTGCCAGAGCTGCTCCTTGTACCACGAGAAGAGAATTGATCATCTATCCCTAATCCAAGGCAACTCCTTGTAATCATTTGGGGCCTAGTGACACAATTATGCATAGGCAACTCCTACGTCTTCTCTAGATTTCCATTAACTGCACAGACAAGGCAACTCCTTGTCCGGTTTTGAAATCATTGAATCAATCCCACTTTCCTAACTCATGGATACAAGGCACCTCCCTGTTATCCGGTTTTCAAAATCATTTTATTGAACTTTCACTTCCTTTTTCCATTCTAACCTTAACCCCATGACCATGCAAGATGAATGCACATTTGTGTCATGTTCCGAAGTTTCTAAACAGTAAACAGTTCACATGCAGCATTTTACTTCCATCTTTGAAAATTCATAACAAATTCAATTATAAGTCAAATTGAGTGATTCCAAAGCCTAATGAAAGCTTAAACAATGTAATTTGAGAGTGTTAATTTAGTTTAACAAAATCCCTTCCCAACTGGAACAGTTTTGACCCAAAAGTTCGAACTAAAATCTGCCAGAAACTGATTTCCAGCCTGTAGCTTCCATCTTTGAAAATTCATAACAAATTCAATTCTAAGTCAAATTGAGTGAGTCCAAAGCCTAATCAAAGCTTAAACAATGTACTTTGAAAGTGTCAATTTAGTTTAACAAAATACCTTCCCAATTGGAACAGTTTTAATCCACAATTTCGAAATAAAAATCTGTCAGACACTGATTTCCAGCCTGTAGCTTCCATCTTCAAAAATTCATAGTAAATTCAATTTTCGTCCAAATGGAGTGAATCCAAATGCCACTGAAATTTAAAAGACTATATTTTTAAGATAAAATTTTATTTCATCAAAATACCATACCATCTAAAGCAGGTTTGATAAACAAAACTCGGACAGAATCTGCCCAAACCCAGAATGCCCAGCAAGAACCCTCTAACTTCAAAAATTCATGGTAAATTCATTTCTCAACCAATTTATGTGAAACCAATTCTCAATGAAAGATAATTCACTATATTATCATAATATCAAATCATCTATGCATGATAAATTACGAATTTATATGAATTAGAGAAAAATAGCAGCAAGCAATTTCAGCCAAGCAGTTTCAGCATCAGTTTAGGTTGTTTATACACTTTGCAACTCAAATTGAAAGAGATTACTCACTAAAGGCAAAGGAATTGAGGGTTAGACAATCCTACCTCAAGGGAAGCTTGAACACTTGCTCAACAATTCAAAACCAAACCAAAAATGGATCAAAATCAGCAACTAGAAGGTGAAGAACACTTTCCTTCTTTGTTTGCAACCAAAACCCTCTTCTTTTAACACCACTTTCCAAACCCAACAACAAAAGAAATGGACTCAAGTTTGATATCAAAAGAACCCTCACTAAGGAACATTTTTCCTTCACAAAGCCCCATCAAAATCCCAACACAAAGCTTCCAAAATTTAGCTTAAAAGGTATCACTATGGAAAGGAAATAGGATGCACGAAAATTGGGTTTTGCCAAAATGGTTTCTAAGAACAAAACACTAGGCATACTATATGTTATAAAATGAATGGATATGGTGCAACCACATACGCCTACACATGTCATCCCCTCCATGGATTAAAACCAAAATCATAAGAAATGACTCAAAAGTCCTTTTATTTCCTACTAAATACCATTCATGCCATTTACATGATAAAAGTCAAGAATACCCCTTCACAACCAACCAAATGCCAATTATGCTATTTTGCATAGTATAGTCTATAATATTTCTTAACACATAATGATGTTTAATTCACATTTGCAAACTAATCATATTTTTGACAATAAAAAAAATTGCATGAATGCTAAAATGTTCGAAAAAATGATAAAAATGCAGGTCCTCACAATATCTCTAGAGACTGGTTTTATTTTTTACTTCCGCATTTCGAACCTGTTATCGGGTTAACTTTCGGGTCATCACTGACGCACCGGGTTGTAAAACTTGGGCCGTCACAAGGGAAATGATCCTTCCTAGTAGCGGAATTCAATTTTTGGTAATCAATACACACATGCCATGAAGTGGCGGTGCGTTTGGAAATGAGATCACCCTTGGTATTTCTCCACAACCATAATTCCCGACTTTTTGGGAACTACTTATGTTAGACTTACCCACTTACTATCGGAGATAGGGTAAATAATTCTCTCATCCAATAACTTCACTACCTCATTTTTTACCACTTCCTTCACTATTTGAACAATCACAAGTTTTATCTCTTTTATATTACAGTTTCCTTAACTAGCCGCCAAATAGCTATAAACATTCCCATACCAAAGCCCTAATTTTTACATAAGTGTTCTAATGATAAATCTTAGCAGGTGTCAGTGTAATTTAAAGCCTGTCAGTTTCAATGGAAATTGGAGCTTTTGTATTAATACTAGAATTTAATTTAATTATTTTCTATGTGTAAGATTTAACTTACATGGATGTATATAGCTTGGAATTAAATTGTGGCATGCTATTAAATTAGTCCTTGATATGTTCATTAATATATATTAAATTGGGAGTATTTGAATAAGTATTGCAACTTTTTTTAATTATTTTCTTTTATGAAAATTTAATTCACATGGTTGTAACTAGTATGAAATCAACTTGTAATGTGATATTAAAATAGGGCTTGGTATGTTCTTTAACCTATATTAATTTGAGGACATTTGGAGTTGTTTAAAAATCTAGAGAAAATTAATTAATTAGCTTAATTGATTTTATTTTAAGTGTTTTAATCACTTAATTTGATATTTGATGTGATATATTTGAAGACCATGCCATGTCCTTTAACATCTATTAATTTGAGGCTATTTGGAGTTGATTTGAAATCTAGAGAATTTAATTAAATTTTATCTACATGTTCCATGGATTTAATTGTGTCTTAGAAGTTGTTTCTATGTTTAAATCATGGATGTGGACTTGTTATATATTCACTTGGGTATGTTTTAAGTATTGCATAACGTTGTTGTTATATTTATATTCATGAGAACATGTTTCCAATATTGAATATATTGTTATCTCGTGTAAAGACTTGCACATTGTATATTTGACATTTAATATGTCATTGTAGCTTGAATGCCTAGGGCATATCTTGTGTGATTTTCATGACCCGAATGTGTGTGGTATTTGGCTAAGTGGATTGAGTATATATGATATACATTTGTTGCACTATTTGTAGATTTTGGATCCTTGAGGCATCATTCGTTTTGATATGGCTAGAGTAAGGCTCTAGTATGAGAGATGTGAGCTAAATACCGAGACTATCCTTTTAAATTTAGGTGTATTATTGTCTTCCCCCCTAACAAAAGGAATTCCGTCCTCAGAATTCACCCTTACCTTATTCCATAATTTCTGAAAATTATGAAGGAATGGCATCCTCCCATTCCCAAGTGGACTCAGCGTCATTATGATGGCTCCACTTGACACGCACTAATGGTATGACCTTATTGAGAAGAATTTGATCCTGACGGTCTACAATATGACACGGGGGTTCCATATATGTTGCATCCGGCTGCAACTTAACCTTACCAACATCGATGCATTGATAACGATCCTCATCTCGTAGAAATTTCCTCAACATGGAAACATGGAATACATTGTGGACACGATGTAGATGGTCCGGAGATGCTAACCGATAAGCTACAGCTCCAACTCGATTCGTAATCATGAATGAACCGACAAATCGCGGTGATAACTTTTTTTTCCTCCCAAAGTGCATTACTCCCTTCATAGGAGACACTTTGAGTAAAACCTGATCCCCAACCTGGAACTCCAATGCACGAGTACGACGATCTGCATAACTCTTCTGCTTACTCTAGGTAGTGCGTATACGATCCTTAATAAGAGCGATCTTCTCAGAGGTATCCTTAATGAATTCAGGACCCAAAAATCTACTCTCTCCAACCTCCATCCAACAAACAGGAGATCTATATGGTCAGCCATATAATGCCTTAAATGGTGCCATACCAATAGTCTTCTAAAAGTTATTGTTATAAGCAAACTCCCCAAGTGGCAAATAGTCCTCCCAATAACCCTTAAAGTCAAAAACACAAGAACGAAGCACATCCTCCATATTCTGATTAACCTTCTCGGTTTGTCCATCTGTCTGAGGATGATAGGCAGTGCTAAGATGCAACTCTGTACCCAAAGCCTGCTGAAAACTCTTCCAAAATCCTGACACAAAGCTTGAATCCCTATCCGATATAATTGATAATGGAATGCCATGTAACTTCACAATCTCTGTAATGTAAAGTCGCGCCAACTGCTCCGAAGTGAAATTAGTGTGAATAGGCAAGAAATGAGCTGATTTGGTCAACCTATCAACAATGACCCAAACGGAATTGTGATCCTTAAATGAGTTAGGCAATCCCTCCACAAAATCCATAGAAATGCCTTTTGTTGTGACGGCCCTGGTTTTTTAAGCCAGTGTATCCTATGATAAACCGTAGTTTGACCCGCTATCGGATCCAAAATGCAGAAGCAAAAATAGAAAATAAGTCTCTAAGGAAATGCAACATCCCTTAGACACCAAAGTGACCTTTCATAAGGCCACAGAACTCCACGAGAACCGACGCGGAAGAAAAGATCAGAAAAGACCAAATATGCCCCCAAGGGCAAAATAATCTTTTACATGGAAGCAACACCTTTGAAAATGTACATCATTCCCAAGGCATATTCGTGACTTCCTATAAAGTCACAAAACTCATAAGAAAGCATAGCGGAAGCAATTTAAAAAAAAAAAAAAAAACCGGACAAGTTTAGCCCTAAGGGAAAAATAGTAATTTTTAGAAAGATTTGGGTGCTACCGAGCACACCATTGGAAAGATAGTGAAAAAATAATCAAGTTAGACTCAAGAATCACTTGATTCGGAGTACAGATGGAAGAGAAAAGTCAAAACAAAGTTTTGACGTCGCCGAGACAGTGAATAATGTTTTGACAGTAATGAATAGTAACTTGGGCAAAATGCTGAAGGTCGTGTGCTGTTTTGAGGTACTAAACGACGTTTTCTGAAAAAATACAAAAAATAAACCCCCCTTTAAAATAATTTTTCCAAGCTGACCATGTCAAAAGAAAATTTTATTTTTGACGTGAAATCCCCAAAATGCCCTTACAACAGACTTTTCCAAATAATGCTGGTGCGCACAGGAATCTGATTTGACACGGGGTTTTCGGGTCCAAGATGACATTTTCTGGAAAAATGTTGTGAAGAAACCCCCTCTAAAATCATGTTTTCTATGTGTCTATGTCAAGACCGGAATTTATTTTTCAAAGAAAATTTCCAAAATGCCCCTAGATGAGTTTAGGCCAAGAGGGTTAAAAAGCTGCTACATGAATAACAGAAGACTGAACTTCGTAAGGGATTTCCGGTACCAAGCCGACATTTTCTGAAAAAACACGAAGAATAAACCCCACCCTAAAATCACGTTTTCTACCCGACCATGTCGAAAGAAGAAAATAAAATGCACTGTGAAATGTCCAGAACGCCCCTGATCATTTTAGGCCAAAAACGAGAAAAATGTAACCTTGCACCAAGTGTTCATTTGACCCTAAATGCATTTCTAAGCTAAAACGATTATGCACACAAACATATTTAGTATTTTTAAGCGTGCGGAAATAGTCCGTGGCTCTCAAAAATGGCCGATGCAAAATACGACCTCCCGGCGGCCAAAAATGGCAAAAATGAACTCGAAATGGAAAATTTAAAATCCAAAAATATGAAATGGTTTCAAATTACCATTTGGCCCTTGGCCACACTTCATACATGACTAATGAGACCTTATGAAAGAATAAAAATGGAATTCCCACACATGCAAACATGGTGAAACAATGACTTGTCATTTTCCAATATTTCCATTGTATTTCTTGAAGTCAAAAGTTATATAGGATACAAAATAATAGTCATTGGCCTTCAACCTTATCTCATACATGTCAAATACATCGTAAAAGGTGTACTTACATATACGTTACATATATGGAATCAAAGATACAAGTTTTGACATACAAAGCTACAAATAGAATTTCATTCTAACATTTTCATGAAATAGATACTTCAAGTCTACGAAACTTCCATGGCATAGTGTGCATCCCAAATCAAGGTCCCTGTACCTAAAAAATGTCCCCACTACGTGGGTGAGTAACATAAAGCTACTCGTAGGAGATGAGCATGCATAGACTTAACATTTTACTGTTCATTAAATTGATATAAATCAATATATAGGGTCCATGCCACCTAGTGTCTATGTCCAAGGTGAGACTCAAGGAGCATCCTAAGCTACCTTAAAACATTTCTAGCATAAACCACATCATGCATGTAATTTAAACAACGTAGAAGCATGCAGTACACGCAACAAGGTAATCAATATACAAGTATACATATATAATTATATAATCAATATTGACATGCACTTAAGACAAGTATACAAGACACAAGTATACTAGGTTATCTAGAAGGTAAATCATCAATATACAAATGTACACACCAAGTACGCTAAGCAATATTGAAATAACATATATACAAGTATACATTTACAAGTATACTAAGTATTTTTGATATACAAGGCATACAAGTATACAAATCCAAGTATACTAAGCAAGAAATGAGGTATCATGCATACAAGCACAAGTTAAAAGTAATCCACGATTAC